CACACTCTACTCGAAATTTGTCTCCTGTTGCATGTGATTAGATTAAGACATGACTGGAAAGATTGGGATATTGGAGCAGGGAACTCCATTCAAATTCATGTATCTTTTCATTCAATTATGAAATTTTCTCCGTTGTTGTTGTTGTTGTTGTTGCGTCGTCTAGTAACATTCATGCATCTTTTTATTCGATTATGAAATTTTTTCTGTTGTTATTGTTGTTGTTATTGTCGCGCTCATAAGAAAAGCGTAAGAAATAAGAATTACCATGATTCCTTTTTTTCGGTGGCCATATTGTAGTCCTTACTTAAGGTGATTGTATTTGTATATGTTTATATTTTTATTTACTTTTCTAGTTTTTTGCAAGCATATTTTCTTGGCCATTCCATCAATTAGGCAAAAGCTGATTCCTGACTTTTCATCTGGGAATATTGGAGCAATTGGACCACTGAGCTATCTGGTAGTTGGATTGTTGAAGGAATTTGGTTTTTCTTTTCTAATATGCACCATCTATTCTAATAAAAAAAAAAAAAAAAGTTGAACAAATCAAAATGAGCTGAAAGTAAAGGAAAAGAAAAGAAGAATTGAAAGGAAATATTTTCAATGAAATTTGATATGGAATATTTCATCCTCACGGGTCTTATTAGAGGATAAGAACCGGTCAGCTCCATAAAAGATAAAGAAAGGATCTAGAAAATGAGAAAAACCTCAACTTGTGTAAGAGTTCATCAGAGAAAAGTACTGATTTTTCATTTATAAAATTTAAGTTTGAGAGTTTCTTTAAAATGAATTTTAAAATTTTATTTAAGGTGGATTAATTTTTTTAATTTAAATTAACAAATCATTAGTACTCATCATATTTTTTAAAGAAAAAGAATTTTATATAAACTTAGTGGTTATTTAAATTAATTATTTGTATATAATTGATAATTAATAATTGTTATTTATAATTTAAAATATCTAATTTATTTGATTAAATTTAACAGTTAATAGTTATTTATAAAAGTTCAAAATAAACCCTCCTTGAATTATTGGCCAATCAATATAATTATTTGAGATTTTTTTTATCAACTTTACCTTTAAAAATTAAAAATTATTTTTTAATAAAATATTATGACAAAAATAAAATAATCTCATTATTATTTTAAAAATGAATTATTTTAGCTTTTTTAATAAAATTTATTGAAACCGAATAATTTTAGAGTATTTTCTATTTACTTTTTTAAAAATTTAAGTTAATAAATACTTTTTTTTCTAATTATTTATTTTTATTAAAATTTAAATTTGATTGAATCTTATTTTCTTTTGTGAATTATGTATTTTGCAACCACTCTTTGTTTGCGTTACCATATAAGATCTAATGACATCAAATTACATTTAAGTGTATTTTTTTTCTCGAGCAATGATTTAAATCCAACTCTTTGTAAAATTGTTCAAAAATATATATATTTAAGTAATATTAAACAAATATATAATATTATAAATAAATTTTTAACTAAAAATATTAATTATTCAACTATATATATATGATATTATACCTTACATTATTATATAATATTATAATTATAATATTTTATATTTTTAATCAAATATATGGATTAATATTTATCCATTTTATTTTTAAAAAATTAAAAAAAATTATTTTAAACCTAAGTAATTTTAATAATACACTATATAAAAAAAATAAAAAACACTCAAATTCAAACTTCACAAATAAAGTATTTCAATTTTTTAATAAAAATTTATTAAAATAATATAATTTTAAAATAACTTTTTCTTAATTTTTAAAAAACAAGACGCATATTCTATTTATTATATATGACTGATTCATTTCCGTTACCTTTAACGCAGTTGGGTTCCAGGAAACCCTCAATTCCCTTAAAATTACCATCGCATCCTCTCCCTCACTTCAGCTCGCATCCCTCCCTCCCTCCCTCCTCTCATCTCCAGCACTCAGCAGCGCCCTCCTGAGTCCTGACTCTCTCCGCCCTCTCTCTCAGTTAACACCAAACCCTTACCTCGTCGGAAAAATCAAGCACCAGATTTGCAGAAATCACTAAACCCCCAAGTCCCGACGGACAGAGTTTCTCTCACTTTCTCCCGGAATTCCGTTCAGAATCCTTGGCATTTTCCCACTATTGCTTCCAAGCTGGCGACGGCTAACATCATCCCCCCCATTTCCTCCCGTCCTTCCACAATTCCGCTCTCACTCCAGAGCTGCATAAGATTTCCGCCATTTCCCCCCAATTCCTTCCGTTTTGCAATTCCTTCCTCAATGTTCTCAACTCCATTTATCCTCTCTTTCTCTCTTCTTTTATCCCTTCCCATTCTCTTTTTCTTCGTCGCTCCTGCCTTCCTTACCAGACCCCTTCCTCCCATCCCCGTCCCTGACGAACTTGACGACCTCCGCCTCTTCCGCCGTGCTTCCTCCGCCGCCTCCTTTACTTCCCATCTCTCTTCCTCCTCACCTAAGCTCAAAATCGCCTTTCTGTTCCTCACTAACACCGACCTCTACTTTGCTCCCTTGTGGGAACGCTTCTTCCGCAACCAAAGTAAGTCCCTTTATAACATCTATGTCCATGCCGATCCCACCGTCAAAATCACGCGCCCCCATGGTGGTGTATTTGACAATCGCTTCATACCCAACGCCAAACGCACCTTCCGCGCCTCTCCCACACTCATCTCCGCCACCCGTCGCCTCCTTGCCACCGCCCTCTTGGATGACCCTGCCAACGCATACTTCGCCGTCCTCTCCCAGTACTGCATCCCTCTTCACAGCTTCCGTTACGTATACCACTCTCTCTTCACATCCCCTTCTTTTGATTTAACCCGCTCGGATCCAGATCCTGATCCTCAGCTGACTCAGCTCGGGGTGCGAGTGAGTTACCGGAGCTTTATCGAGGTTCTCTCCAAAGAACCTGGGCTTTGGAGGAGGTACGTCGCCAGAGGGAAGGATGTGATGCTGCCGGAAGTCCCATTTAAACGGTTCAGGGTTGGATCTCAGTTTTTTGTTTTGACGCGTAAACACGCGCTGATGGTGGTCAGAGATCGTAAGCTCTGGAACAAATTCAAGCTGCCGTGTTACAAAGCCAGCTCGTGCTACCCGGAGGAGCATTATTTTCCGACATTGCTATCAATGCAGGATCCAAAAGGGTACACCCGGTATACTTTAACTCGGGTCAATTGGACTGGTGCAACTCACGGCCATCCATATGCATACAAGCCAGCTGAAGTCTCCCCTGAGCTAATTTCTCGGTTGAGGAACTCAACACACTCGGCTTCTTACTTGTTTGCGAGGAAATTCTTGCCGGATTGTTTGACGCCATTGCTGGATATTGCGGATTCAGTCATTTTCAGGGACTGAGATTTTTCTCCTTGTAAGTAAATTTCGTGCGTATTTCCTTTTTTTTGGCTGATTTTTGTTTGGATTGACTCAGTGAATTGCCTAGTGGGGTTTGTAATTAGTGGATGTGAAGTGATAGATACTAATTTAAGCTTACCCTGGAAGTTGGAATTTTATTTTCTAGGGGAATAAGTCTGAGTCAATTATGACTTAAACTATATTGAATGCCTTAAGTAGAATTTGGATTTAGATATTAGTTTTATATATTTGGGGTCTTTTCATGCTTTGGTTCTTATATGGCTGCATTTCTAGAATTCGCATCTAGAATCACCCTTTTGTTTACAAATTTGTGTAGGGCTTGTCTTGAAAGATTGTTTAACCCTTCAAAGGTGTAACCTTTTGGTTGATTGATAAATTTCATGCACTCGATTCTTGTTTAGCTACACCATCTCTGTGTATTAAATTTTGCTCATTTTGGTCATCAGTTTGGAGCTGCAGGAACATACAAGATTTTAGGAACCAATGTCTTGGAATTGAGAATACTGCCTCTACTATTTGTGAAAGCTTTCGGGGGGTTTATTATTTTTATTTAAAATGATATACTCAATCAAGTTGTAGGTACATACATGATTGTTGGAACCAATGTCTTGGACTTGTGAATACTGCCTCTACTATTTGTTAAAGCTTTTGGGGGTTTATTATCTTTATTTAAAATGGTATACCGTATACTCAATCAATTGTATGGACTGACAAGATTCTTTGAACTGGATTTTCGCAGGTGAAGAGAGAATTTTGAGGGAAGATATTGAAGTGAAATTTGGTTTCTGAAGAGGGTAATAAGGTGCCCAAAAGACAAGCAAGCAAAGAAAAAGACTTTTAAAGCTCCAAACTTTGGAGTCTATATACACATAAGGAATCGAAAGTTGGATACTTCGTGGAAGGCAGCAAAAAAGTACTTGCTTTTGTTAAAGGTATATCTGATGATGAAAGAGTAGCCCATATTAGCAGTAGGTTCTTTGTATTTTTCTTGATGTGATTTGTACATATTATGCATGAAAATGCCATCCAATTGGTCTTTTTTTTTTTCTGGTACAGTAGATGATGGGTCATACAATAGAGAATAGCCCTCCCCTTCCCTTAGTCCCTTTGCTCCCATCTTAAGGTTTGAACTCGAGATCTCTAACTTGGAGTCTCAAGTTCTTAGCCACTTGAGACACCCTCTCAAGGGCTCCAATTGGTCTTTATTTTGTCTTCCTTAGGTAGTGAGAGAAAAAGTTGTTAAAAATGGAGTACAAGAATTTTGAGCCAAAGTGAATGACCTTAAAATTCTAAGAGAATGAAGAAACCAGGGGTCAATTATGCCCTGGACCTTTCTTTTCAATTATGTCCATATATTTACTCCAATTCTTACTCTTTTATTATTGTTTTATTCTTTAAGTTTCTGACCACTGTTTATAGGATTCTCATGTTATATATTCTCCAGGGGACAGAGTATTAGAATAAATTACTCCTGTTTATCAATTGTTTATCATGCATTACTAAATTGGGTTGCTGTTGTTTGGGTATGTGTTTTGCATCAAATGAAAGGTGGACAGGTGCATCGCTTATTCCTAACCACCGAGCTAATTCTTTGACATTTGCTTTGTATACCATTATTATTAAACCTCAATATTGAACGAATATATTTTGAGCATTTGTTTTTGGCAGTTAGGTGCACATTTGTACGGCACAGGTAAAAGAGTTGCACACATAAAGTTATTTAGTTATTTCTCTCATTTTTTGGTGGTGAACAAAATTCAGCCCTATGTTATGAACATGAATTCTTATTTACGGTACTTTTTTTTTTTTTTTTTTTGTTAATCTGAGGCTAATTCAGTTTACATTTAGGAATAGGTCATGTAATTGATTGTTTTGGTACATGTGGATTGGTGAATGCAATGCAAGTTGAAGTTGTGCTTTGTTATGCTTGTGATGGTATGCGCATGGTTTGGTTTCTTTCTCATCATTTTGGAATATGATTCTTTTTGTTCCATGTCTTTTCTCTTGAGTCTTTTACTTAAATTGGACTTTATTTGAGGTTCTGGTTTTTGTTATACTAATATAGGAGTATCAAGAAAAATTGAGGGGATGACCGACTTTAACAACCCCTATCTAAGCAACACTTTTTGTGTACATTAATTTTTGCTTGGTGGAAAACATGCGTTTTGAAGGGCAGATATTGGCCATCTTGAGCTTAAAATAACCTCTAATAATGGCAAAGAAGTTGGCAACATTATGCTGTCCATGTGAAAGCCCCAAAATTAGTGATTAATGCAGGAAATGATTCTGTTTTGTTAAGTAGATTAATGCTTTTCATAATCTTATCTTACATAGATTAATGTTTTGTTAAGTGGTAGTAAATCATAAACGTGGGAGGCTATATTGATGGCAATAACGTGTTGTTGAATCTTTGACCTACACTCCTTGCTTTATCATTACTTGATTAGCCACAACTATGATTGTAATTAAGTACATATTTTTTTTCTCTTTTTATTTTATTTTATTTTATGCACAATAAGAAACAAGTATTTACTATTCTTAACTTTTTTTTTATTCTAATGTCATGTAATTTAAATATAAAATTTCTTATTTTTATAAATTACGAAAAAGAAATGATAGTGAACTGCTCAAGTTGTTGGCTCTCTCTTTCGTTTAATCTCTCCTGGAAATAACCAGGGGAATGAAGTTTGGAGTTTGGACCATTTCCTGGATGTTTCACCTGCCCCTATTAACTTTGGACCATTTCCTGGATGTTTCACCTGCCCTATTAACAGATAATGATGTAGAGGTAAATGGGTATGATCAATTCAATTTAGAATGGACATTTTCCACTTCCTATGTCACAATTAGCCCAACCTTTCGACGCTAGCAAATGAATAAATTGGTGGCCCACTACTCTGACCAAACCGTACGCACCAACCACTCGGCCCCGCACATGTTATTCAAATTCAAAGTTTAGACCATTGAGGGGAGCTTTCGTCTTTTTCTTGGACGTATTATTTAGTTTGATTAACCTTTTTTTTTTTTCTTCCTTTGAACTAGGGGAATTAGGGGCAACGAAGGAGGAACGGAGACAAGGGGAATTGAATTATTGAATTCTGGTAGGTGTGGGTTGAACACCCGTGTAGTGACCATACGAGTCATACACACTAAGGCTCATATATATATATATTTAATATGAAAAAATATAGTGTTAAGTTAATATTTATTTGAAGTAAATCGAATCTAAAACTTAATCTACAAATGGAAGAAGCATGGTCGTCACTGCAGTCACATAGAAGAATGCACCGAGGTTCATATCGTTTGATTAACTTATTTTAAAACTTAAGGAGGCGTTTGATATATGTTGGGAGGTTTATATATTTAAAGGGTTCAATGGCATATATTTGAAAATTTAACTTGGGAAGAAGGGTATGTTAAGAAGTGTAGGGTCCTTCTTTGGAATTATTCATAAAACCAAAACCTTTTTTGGGAATAAATTTCTAACCCACCTTATACTTGGGGAAAGTAGTATTAGAACCATTGAATTTATAGCAAGTTTTCGTTTTGCACATAAAAAAAAAAAAAAAAGTATACTCATGTTTTGATGTTCAAGCTATCATATTTCAAAATAAAAAATATTGAATTGAAATGATTTTTAATATTATAAATTTATTTTTTATCTAATAATTAATATTATATAGTAAAATTAAATCATTTTTTAATTGAGTTTTTCTTAATTTATACTTTTAGGATATCATTAATTCTTCAATGCATTTATTACAAATTTTAATATTAATTTATATTAAAAAATATTATTTTTAATATTATTGTCGTTTACATAAATTTAATTAGATAGTTATATACATAAAAAAGTAAGATAATTGTTAAAATTGATATTATTTTTTTATTTTTATAATATTATTTAGAAAATAGTGTTTTGCATGTCAATTTTTTTAAATTTTTTTGGAGAGCATATTTAAAAACTCATTTTTTAATTCATATTTTCAAAAATTAATAATTAAATTAAAAATTTTATTCATATAAATCATATATATAAATTTTTATATTGACATAATAGATCTAACTACTTTATTAATTATAAAAAATTTAATATTATTAAATATATATTAGTAAACAAAGTTATCTTGATTAAAAGGTTACAAATGTTAAATTAATATAAAAATTAATATGTATAATTTATATTAATAAAAATTTTAATTCAACAATTAATTTTTTAAAAGTATTAATTAAAAAATAAATTTTTAAATAAATTCTTTAATTTTTTTAAAAAACTATCTTACATAATTTTTTATTATTTGATATAAAAAAATACAATAAATACATCTTTTAATCCATACTAAGGGTTGTTTAGTGGAATTTTTTAAATTTTTTATTTTTTTAGTACTATATATAAATCATAAGTTTAAATTTTTATTAAAAAAATTTAAAAATTATTTTTAAAAAAAAAAAAAAATACAAATTTAAAACTTTTTAAAATTTATTGTTAAGGTCTTTTTAAAATAAAAAATAAAAAATATTAATTTATTTTTAAAAAAATTTTAAACTTATAAAATATAAATAATATAGAAAAAATTAAAACACTCACCAATTACACCAAACTCTAATATCAATTTGTAAGGTTTTGAAAAACCTTTTAAATTTTATGGCTCAGATAAACCCACACAGCTCCGCCAAAATCTCATTACCTGATCGAAAGCACCAATGTCGACAACTCCACTCACTTTCCTAACAGTGCTACTGCTAACGCTCGCCGCCTTCAACGGCGAAGCAGCCAACACAAACGGCGTCTACCAGCCCTGCGCCGACACCAAGGTCCAGAGGTCCGATGGCTTCACTTTCGGCATCGCTTTCTCTCCACGAGAATCTTTCTACTTCAACCAATCCCATCAGCTCTCCCCCTGCGACACCCGCCTCTCGCTTGCGTCTTTAAACTCCCAGCTCGCCGTCTTTAGACCCAAAGTAGATGAAATCTCACTCCTCACTGTCAATACCTCCAGTTTTTTCCCGGTAATGGGTTACCTACTCCCATCTTTATCTGCAAACTTTGAACTTGATTATGCTTTCTTGATTGCGTGCAATGTTTAGTGAGTGGGCAGAACTTATTTCTTTTCCAGATATTGGATTTTGGGTTTTACGTTTTCTGTTTTGTACATGGAAATTGAATGCTGATAAGATTCGAAGTTAAAAGAATGTCTTTTGGCATCTGCCCTGTTGTGTTTTTTTCTTTTACAACTTTCATTGTTGGCATGTCTGTACTTGAGTTAACATTCTACATTCTTGTATATGCCTATGGAGGGTATGATTGAGATCCACTTAAGAAGAACATTAATTTATAATCATTCATAGCTTACAAATATGCACTTATGCATTTTGAACTCCCAGGATTCTTTTGGTGGGTACATGGTGGCATTTGCTGGTCGAAAATATGCTGCAAGGTCCATTCCTGCTTTTGTTGCAAACAGCACATATACTGTAACCAGTTTTACTCTGGTAAGAACTAAAACTTGTTTTGGACTCTGGAAATTGTATTGTTCCGTTTATTGTTTATTAAGCAAAATGAATATTCTGTCAAGGTAGGTTCTTGAATTCAAGGATGGAAGGCTTCAGAATCTGTACTGGAAGAGAGATGGATGTGCTTCATGCGCAGGCAATTCCAATTTTGTTTGCCTCAACAATCAGGACTGTGCTATCAGGACATCAAACTGCCAAAACCGAGGCGGTTCTGTTGATTGCAGCCTTGGGATACAGCTAGCTTTTTCTGGGACAGACAAGCATCTTGCTGTTCTCAATTCTTGGTATGAAGTGGAGAATCTCCGTCAATATTCCCTTTATGGCTTGTATTCAAACCTCCGGGATTCACTTACCAGTCAATACAACAAATTCTTTTAACCACTTATCAGCCAACTGAGCAAGTTCTTTTAACTGCATTTGCCATGCTGATAATGGTGTATGTTTCTTCCTTAGCATTAGTGATGCCATAATTTTGTAATGTCTCCCACTTTTGTTAATTTCTTTAGCCATTGGCTTATTGAACTAGTTACCATATGCAGTGGGTTCATTCTGTCTATCTATATTTATGCTATTTTAAGTTCAATGAAGTATGATACTCCTTTCTATATTTTGCATGATTTGAAAGAGATGCCTGGTGATTGTTTTGTGCCTGACTTAATTTTCTGGATTCAAAGTGAAACCTGCAACTATTCCTAGTGTTCCATTATATCTTATTTCGTTGTTGTACCTTGAAGAATGTTCTCTCAGATTGGCACCTCCTGGGCTGGTGTTTGCTTGAATTGAAGTGCTTTGATATTCAATTATTGATCTTTTTAATTACATAGCTTTTGTTAGTCTTGTGTTCTTTCCTCACATTGAATGATTTAAGCCATTATTCACAAATGATTGGATTTGAATGATGAACCCAGTCTGAGAATTTGGGATCCCCTGTGCTGTGGTGACGGATGGTGAAGGCAAAATTTGTAGTGAACAAGTAATGCTAGGCAGCAGTGTTGTTGGCTGCAGCCTGTAGGCAGTGTTTTCAGCTCAAGATCTTGGTGCCTCCCGGATGCTTCCGGAGGCCATAAGCTTGATGCTTTGTTTTTGCATCGTGACCAACAATGAAGCTCATTCTCAGGCACAAATTTTGTCAAAAATTGAGCTTTAGGCCATAGATCCATAAATTTAGAACTGGAGAAAGATTGTCATCATATGAAGTATTCTGTTAGCTTCATCTACAAAATCAAAATTGCGAACATCCTCTTTGAAAAGGAACATACACTTCGGAAAATATGGGGTATTAACCCATTCTTATTTGTCTGTTGTACATAAACTTTTTGCCATTTGCTTACTTATTTCCATGAAAAAATGCAATATTTTATAAAATAGAATGAGACTACGAAATTTCCTGCACTTTGTGATTTTGCAAGTCGATTGATGCTAGACAAGAGAAAAAGCCCTTGTATATATCCTCGTACTATGCAGCTTGAAGTACTTCTCAAGAAACATGCAACTCCAATAGTCTTCGGAGAAAAAAGGATTTATCCTCATACCATGGGCGGTGCACCCTCCATCTTGTTCTTTTCTTTTCCATTTATCTTCCTGAATTGACATCTTCCACAGAATGGAAATGGGTAGAGCAAGAATTAGGCAACTTATTGCTCAAGCCACTCATGAAGCAAGGTTGGTGATGCCAAAGTACACAGTTTTCTGTTGAAACGCGTTGATGGCATAGTCAATCTGAAAGTGACCAAATGGAGACTTGAAGCGAATTCCATATCCAGCCCCAACTCCACATCCCGGTTTGCCCTGTCTTAGTGCTGGATTTCCTGAAAGTTGCAATAAAAGTAGTAACTTGAGTATTAAACAAGCCAATCTCAATAGATAACTGAAAATAGAATCATCATGTTAAATTAAGCAATTCAGAAAGCAACTAGCCAAGAACCAACAGAGTGAATGGAGTTGTGAAATTTGGAAGCAAACTACTGAAAATTGAGATAAAAGAGTTGTCAGCAATTCCATGATTATAAGCAGGTACTAGAATGAAACTTACCAGGAACATGACGACCAGACCCCAAATCAGTTCCACAATCCAGGAAAAGAGAGCCATCCAACATGTTGCTCTAATGCACCAAAAATTGTTTCAGTGATGCTTGTGAAAAATAAAGAACATGTAACTAAAGCACCATGGAAAACTGAAAGGAAAAATGAAGAAAAGCTAGTATCAAAAATATTGATTCTCTGATTATCTTTGTCACATGAGAAACAAAATTACTACCAAAAAAAAAAAAAGAGCGAGTAAGCAACATCATCTTAAAACTGTAGTTTTTAAAGAGGAAAAACACAAGATTTCAAGACTCCATAAGTTGAGATGGAAGCTATTTCAGAAAGCTCAAGAAGTGAGAAAGCAATATTCAACAAATTCAAGTGATTGATGCAGGTTCATGATTGCAAACTCTAAAAATTCTTTCTTCTTCTAACAGCCTATAAGTGTCTATCTGTCATAAATGTTTTTATTTCAAACCCAAGGCAACTCAGATTTAGCAACTGCAAAAATTAGAACATAGAAGAAACATTTGTGTTGATGCATGCTACCACATGGAGAGAACAAAGAACAAAGACAATCCAGGAGAGCAAGTCAACTTCTTGATATGTTTAGGGCTGAATTTGTTTCTTTATCTAACTACTAATTAGTAGAAGTCAGAAATTTTAAACCTTCTACTTGGCATTATGTATGTTTGGAGCCATGTGTAAAGGCCAGCAATAAAAACAACAGATACGATGGACATTGGAATATCTAAAAACAGTTCTTAGAAAAGCTCTTTTTTTTGGATGTTCAGATAGAGCTATTACATACCAAAGGGAATGTCACTTCAGTATTAGCAACTAGACATGATCTCCCAGATCCAACAGCTCCTTCTCCATACCCCCGCACGCTACCAAGACCACCAACTGCAAATGCTTGATAAGGAGCCATGTCTCCAACAATGGAACCAACTGTCAGGCTGACAGAGAAAGAGGTAAGAGTAAAGAAAATGTGGACACGATATGACAATTGACACCGGATTTAATCATCAGCTAGATGACAATTAACACAAGCATGGGGGAATTTAGGAACTACACTCCCTTGCAGAGCAGGATTCATGAACTTTTCAAGGCTTGTTAGGCATATCAATGATGCTTTCTGTTGAAACTTCACATACCATAAGAATTTTTTTCTTGCCCTGTCTATTATCATCTATCAGTCCAGCTAGATAGCTTAAGAACACTTGAGTATTTCTAGCAAAATAAACTTGGTATTGCTTACTTTCCTGCTTTCAACTTCACTCATCATTGTACCCATCTAATTACTAAGTCCATTCCAGAAGTACAAAAAATAAAGACTTTGTTACCTTGTCAAGAGAAAGGCAGGTCCAAGCTTGACACCATTTGATGCCAGAAATTTGAAGCGATTGAAGATTAACCACTTAGACCAAACAGGGATACCCTGCTCTATTTGTATGCTAAACTGAAACAGGAGAAATATGCAGTTATTGTCATTCCTTAAGTTACAAAATGTTTGGATTTGACCAAGCATGTAAGGGAAAGGATGAGAAACTTACACGAGAAAAACTATGATCATCTGCTTTTGCATATCTAGACTCTTGCTTTAAGACTAGCATACTATCATGGGCATTGCCACTGCACAACAAACCATGGGGTCAAAAACAAACTCATCAGATTATTAGATATCAGAATTCCATTTTTCTTTTCCTTTTTGGGCCAAGCAGAAACCATTGGCATTCACACAGGGGACATTACCTGCAAGTCACAGGAAACCCATCCAGATCCCTAGTCATAGAGCGGCCATCATCATTCACGGGGCGAACATGCTGTAACATTCACCATAATTACTACTTTCCATCTCAAGAAAACAGATGATCATTAGGCAGTAACAAGTATCAGTGCACTAAGCTCAGCCAAACCTCAAATTTTATGCTACTCGTGCTACTCCATTTAGAACTTGCAGGCTCATTTAGATCCAACCCAACTGAGAATCTAGACAAATTCACACCTCCACTTCCTGAACGAGAGAAATTGTCCAATGGTGTACCATGGACCCCTATCTCAGGTGAAAGTGAATGCTGCGCCAGACAATCACAAATAAGAATGCAGTGCAGTCAATCTCTACTTAAAACAAGATCTGCAACCGAAACTTCCCCATTCACACCAAGACTAGTAATGATGTAATTACTGAATGGTGGCCATGATTCCTTTCTCAATCAAAAGATGCAATGATAGCAAGAACAACGGAAGAAAACAAGTCACAAACCTGAATGACAAAACATTTTTGGGAAAGCCATTGGGGTCCTGGCCTCCTATAAGCCACCAATATGTTTGAATCATATAAGCCCTTATCCAACGTTACATCAAGCTTCTCACTTCCACCAAATAAGTTTGGATGTTTGATGCAAAGACTGACAAACATAATGAATTAATAAGCCATTACCCCAAAGACCAAAAGCTAAAATCTTTATTGCTCGTTTGTTAGCAGCAACCAAAGACCCAAGTATCAAATCAAATTACCTGCCAATTACAAGAGAGAGAGGACTACCCCTTCCAGTGTCTCTGTAAGATAAAGGAAGAACATAACAATCAACTAGACTCTTCTAAACCCAATAAAGAAAAAGGAGAATTCTGAAACATGGGATGAGGAAAGAGAAAGACCTCAAAGAAGGAAGAATCATAGAAGCACATAGCTTTTGAGTGAAATCAACATTCACATCTATCTTGGCTGCAATTCCCATCATTACAATAAAGAAAAAAAAATCCAATTAAAACATCATCATCAAGAATTGGATGATACCAATCAATGCCACTCTAAAAAAAAAATAGGTATACAGAGGTAGAGATACAGAGTGACTGACTGACCTTTGCCTGCATGGATGCTCTTCTGAGCCCCCATATCTGTGGCGGCGCAAAAACCATTAATCAAAAAATGGGCATTAATCAGGGTACGAGATTAGGACAAGACCCAGATTGTACGAATTGAACAAGACAGAATGTTTCACTTTGTTTGGGTTGGGTGGCTTCAAGGTCGGAGTTGAATGAGCTCTGAGCTCCCAAGTTTGTTATCTCGTTTGCTTCTCCCTTGGTCTTACTTGCCCGCACGTGTAAATTCTTTCCCTCTTTCTTTTCCAAATTAGTAAATAAGGACACTAACTTTGCCTCAATCCCCAATTCAGGATACCAACTAAAATAATTTTGAGTAAAGGATAACATCTGGCAGGCCAGGCCACTTGCTGGCATCTAATTTGGCTCTATTGTGGATCCCATACGCCCCCCTCATGTTAAACCAAAATAATAATAATAATAATAATTTTAAATAAAAAAATTGAAAGTTTATTATTTTATTTAAAAATTGATAAAATTTATATCATTAAGTAAAAATAGACAAAATTTGCATGCTTATTTACACCCTTTCTCTACTCTTCTATGTAAATAAAATAAAAACTACTACTTCCTTCTCATTTTACTTGTCACATTTTTATTTGAAAGGATC